ACTTTCTATATTCTTGAGCTCATGGATCCTGCATACCTAGACAAATATATTTCTGAACTATTTTATTTTATCTAAGTACAAAGTTTTTTACACTGTCTTTGTTCAAAGACCAATTTTTCAAAGATTAACTCTCAAATACATTGGAAAAATCTCCTTTTTAGAGTCCTAAGGAAGATATAGACATGGTGAAGTAGGGAATAAATCTAATAGTCTTCAAGAACACATGGCCACCTGAATCTTTAATTTCAGTGTCTAAATGGCTGTTACACTTCACACCTAACATTTCCAAATATACAGGCTTGCATATATATAAGTCATAATGTAAAATAATGGCAGGCTCTATTTTAATTTCTATAAGATTAAATTAATTAGAGGTATTTTAAAAACTTTTGTATTATTGTTTCATACCTGTGTAAATCTACCTACAAAAAGCTGCAAGATCTTTCTTTCCTGTCTGTTCTATGCATATGTGCACACCTATGTATTATACTATTGTGTCTACATATGTGCTACATATATTATGTACATGATATCAAGATTGGCAAAAATAAATGAGCACTTATAAATAAAATTTTAAATGAGAAATGGATGCCAAATAGCATTTAGTTCACATGACTTTTGAAAAAGTTAAACAGATGAGAATAAATATGTCTTTAAAATTACTAACTCACAAGTTTTTCTAGGTGGTCAGATAATTAATAGAGTGTTGGTTTCTATAAAATATCTAAAATGTAATATCCCTTGTTTATAGAATTTTTCTTCAATAACAAAGAAATAACTATTACTATTTGTAACAATTATCTGATATCTTTTATCTTACAGTTAAAAAAATTAAATTAGACTTAACATCAATAGGATTAATCATAAATGTGCTTGGCAGAGGAGACACCTGATTAATTTGGAAAGTTAAAATGCTGACACATTAACTGCTAATAAAAAAATCAAGAACTCTTGACTTCTTAGATTCCATAAAGTAATATATTCAATCATACAGTGTATTTTCATATTGGTAAATAAAAAAGTTTAAGATTTCTTTCTTTCTGTGTCTTTATAAAAAAAAGTTTGCTAAGATTTAATACTCTATCAGGTATAATTTTATATAAAAACAGTACAAAAGTTTTCAGTTGGGTTTAAATTAAAGGACTAAAAATATGAAGTATTTCATCTTATTAGAGTAATTTGTTTAAATTCAGAAATTTTATAAGGATTGTTTCAGAATGTAAATTTTTAACTTTATTTTTTAGTTGTCGATGGACCTTTATTTTATTCATTTATTTATATGTGGTGCTGAGAATCAAACCCAGTACCTCATACATGTGAGCCAAGCACTCTACCACTGAGCCACAACCCCAGGCCCCAGAATGCAATTTTTTAAAAAGGGGTGAACAACAACAAAAGAGATATAAGAAAGTTGTAGGTAATGGAGTTCATTTTAATATAAAAAGTAGAAGGAAAAAGAAATGTTTCTGGGTGAAAAAGAATTATGTGAACAATTAATAATAAAAAATTTAAATTAAAAAATAAACAAATAAATAAATAAAAAGAATTGTGTGATAATATAAAAAGCTATAGAATGTCTAAGTAAATTGCTAAGGTTTGTGGATGTGAAATTTAAAAAAGTTTTTGTGTAACTAAGTTGGCTACTTAACACTATAAGTTAAAGTTATTCAAGGTTTTTTCTTAAGGCTAAATATTAATGTACTTATATAAACCAAAGTTTCATTCTCTGTGTATTAAACTAAAAAAGAATTCTTAAAACATTAAATTGCTCTTATCCAACAAGATAATATCTCATGACTAGTTAGTTTTATTATTTAGAGAAATTGTCTTAAAGGAATTAGGGTTTGTACAACTCTAGGTAAACAATAGCTGTTATTTTAGAGTAATACACTACACTACAAATTCTGAATTTACCTTTAAAAGCTAAACTTTGTTAATATAATATAATATAATGCCTTTTTTGTATACTTGATGTATTCATATATTTCAAGTATAAAAATCACTAAAATAAAAAGTATTGAAAAACATTTTACTGAGTTCATGTTCTTCAAACTAAATCTTTCTATAACAATAGTCTCTTTCAGACTTATATAAAAATAATGGATTGTGGGATGGGGATATAACTCAGTTGTTTGAATGCTTGCCTTCAATGAACAAGCCTTGGGTTCAATCCTCAGCACCACACACAAAATAATAATAATAATAATAATAATAATAACAACAACAACAACAACAATTTAGCTGGAGGCTTATTTATATTATTTAATTTGTAATTAGAGAAAAATAACCTGCTATCAATAAGTTATATGTAACATTTCATGTGACTCTTTACACTGGGCTGGCAATTTAAATGTATTTTATAAGTCAATAGGAAGGCATGGTTTATTTACAAGTTAAACATGTGGAAAATAAAAACATTTTGTCACTTTCTCACCAAAGGGAGCTAAAATCTGTCAGATCAATTGAGGTGGCTCCGACACAAAATACCAAGCAACCTGTGTGTGCAAAAAAAAAAAAAAACCACCACCAGGCACTGAAAGAACCGCCTGTCAATCAGAGGGGTCTCCTGGCCAGTACTGAGTCTTAGCCAGCTCTCCCGACCAACCCCAGTAGGACAAGGGACTCTAAAAACCCCTTTTCCTGTCCCAAGCCCTTCCTTCCTGCCCTAAGCCCAGTACAAATTCAGTCTACTTGAGCCCCATGCCTTTCTCCTTAGATCCTATTTTTACCCTATTGGTCTGAGGATCCTGCCCAGAGGCAAAATCTCAATAAAGCCTCATTCAGCAGCCCTTAAATCTGCCTCCTTTTAGTGGCTGCTGCCTGACCTTACATCTGGTGCTGAAACCCGGGAGAGCTTTTCAGGCCTCTTCCATACCTTACATCTGGGGAATGAGGTCCACCCTCTCCCCCTTCAAACAAACCAACAAATTCCTAAGCTGCTCCTTCTTTCCCTCTCCCTTTATCTGGGCTGCCAGGAATGGGGTATGGTCCCTCATTTCCCCTGACCATCAAGCCCCTCTCTGGCCACAGGGGCCTATCCATAAGTCAGGAGTGTGCCATAGACTCCCACTCATTCTGTTTAAGGCCCCAGGAACTTTGGAAATGTCCCAGTACTCCGGCTAGCCACTCTGATCCATTTGGGCCCCCAGTGGGTTGCATGGATACCTCAATCCATGCCTGGCTCTTATCCATTCCTCAGGTGAGTGCAATCAGAATTTGGGATGCCTTTTTCTGATCCCACCTACACCTGAGGGTGCCAGAATGTCATTGAAAACATCGAATCTTCCTTAGACCCCAAAAGTCTTTGGAAAAATCTATATTCAGGGGCTGGGAATGTGGCTCAAGTGGTAACGCACTTACCTGGCATGCCCGGGGCGCTGGGTTCGATTCTCAGCAAAAATTTTCTCTCTCTCTCTCTCTCTCTCTCTCTCTCTCTCTCTGAGAAAAAGAAAAAAAAAGAAATTCTATATTCAAATTTTGACAAGTTAGGACTCAGACCAATGCTATAACTGCCAGGTCTTTACTGCACTGTGGCCTTGCCCCAGTGTGACTTAGACAATGGTCACAATGGCCCCCACAAAAAACTATTGATTTTAATCCTTTACTGAATTGGACAATTTCTGTCACCAGATAGGGAAGTGGGCAGAATGTCCTTACATATGGAGGTCACAGCACCTTCTCCCCCACTCTAGAAACCTCCCTCACCCCTCCATCTTCCTCTTCTGCAGCCATGATTCCTTCACCCACCTCTTTTACTGATAAGTCCTTCCATATCCTCCTGCAATGGGTTTCTCCACCTACTCATTCATCTCTTCTCTGTCAGTGTCCACACCCGGTGCCACCAGGCTTTCTTACCAGCTAATCCAAAGCTCAAACAAGCTGAGGAGGGTCCTCCAACCCCTATCCGAGATCTTGTGGAAAGGCTCAATTGCATAAAAAGGTAACACTCCAAACCCAGGGCTTGGCAGCGGCCCTGAGGCCTACTCCTCCAACAAAATCTTCATGTGAGAACCAGCATCCCTCTCCACCAGGGACTTGCTTCAAATATGAATGTGAAGGTCATTGGCTCACCAATGACCAAACCCATGGTGCCACCCCAGGCCATGTCCCATCTGTAAGCACACAGGACATTGGAAGAGCAACTGCCCCATGGATGGCTCTTCCTGAGTGCCTCCATGTGGAGTATGACCAGCCAGACAGTCCCTTCTCTTGAACTATTAATGTTCACAGAAGACTGAAGAAGCCCAGACTGGAGGACCACCACCACCCTTGATGAGCTCAGGGTAATGCTCCAGGTAATGGGTAAGTTCATAATATTTCTTGTGGACATTGGGGCTACCTATTCTGTCTTGCCTGCTTACTTTAGGCCTCTGTTTTCTTCCCAGGTCTCGGTTATGGGGATTAATGGCAACCCTCCTCACCAAAGTGAACTGCTAAACTGGCCTATTCCCTGGAGGGACACCCTTTCACACACTCTGGTCATTCAATCCTGTCCTAGGCAGAGATGTTCTCCAATTACTAGGAGCCACCCTCCAAGTACACCCCCAAGAATACTACAACACATCTGCTTCTGCCTCTAATCCTTACTCTAATAATCTGACAGTATCTAACATGCCATTGCCCCTGACCTAGTCGATCCCCAAGTCTGGGATACCTCCAAGTTCATCATAATCTCCCACCACAAGCCAGTCTGTATCCAGCTGAAACCCCAAACTAAATTTCCTATGTGTCCCCAATTTCCTATCTCTAAAACCCATGGGGAGGGACTTAATTCCATCATGGACTGGTTATTTGCCCAGGGACTCCTCATCCCTCCTGACTCCAGCAGCATCTCACAAATTCTGATGTTGGAATCTCAATTTACTCCCTACCTTAAAATGTCAAGCCATGTAGATCATTAACCTGCTATCTGCCTTTGTATCATGATTGCCAGAACCCTGTTAGCTATAAGTTCCCAACACTAGCCCCTTTGTAACTTCTTGTGCTATAAATACCTTTCTTTCCTGAGAGCTGTTGCTGTCCTTTACCCAGGTTTTCCAGTGAGGTATTTGCTGGCCAGATCTCTTGTGTACGCAATATAAGCTTACTTTAATTTGGTTTAAAATTAGAGTTGGTGGTCTTTTCTTTGCATCATGGGTTCAACACTAAGTTCTGTAAGAAAAATATAAATTTTATTCTATTAAATGTGTTCTTAAAAAGTTTTTATAAATTCTTGATATATGACAAAAACTGTTTAAGATCATTTTATTTCTGGGTCTCTACAAAGCAAGATCACCAAGAGTTTAAATTCAAATTAATAGATGTAATTCTATATGCAAATCTATGAAGAGTTTTAGCTATGTTTTGATTAAAATACTGTTGAAATCATAAATTATTTCATATTATTGAGGTAAAGAATAATTTTCTTAAATTGAAAATTTTTTTAAGATTGTTTTAAAATGTACCCTTAGGGGAAAATGAGTCAGCAAATAAGAGAAAGAGATATAAAAAAGTTTTTGGAATTGGGATGCATTTTGTTAAAAAAAAAATTAAAGAAAAAAAAATGATTTGGGATGAGAAAGTATTTTATATGATAGAGTGATTCTTTGTTCCCCATAAAGTCCTAGATGGACATGAGGGAAAAGCTAAGAATGTAAACAAGTTGTAGATTGTCTAAGTAAGTTGGAGATGGTGGAAAGTAAATATCTTAGGAAATTTTTATGTGTGAGTAAGTTGGCTATAATGGACACAGTGAATGTTATTTAAGGGTTTTTTAGGTCAAAATTTAATGAACTTGTATAAAACCAAAATCTAATTTTTTATGTTTAAGCAAGATTTTCTTAAAGCACTTAGTTATCAAGATAATCTCAGCATTTTTTCACTTAGGGAAGTAGTCCCTTTTTTTTCTTTTCAATCAAACATTAAATGAAAAGACCATAAAATGAATTTGTCATCGATGAATGTAAAGACTGCATGCTGCTGGAGGATCAGTCATCAATGAATTGCTTTCCTGTAACACTAGAAGGTTGTATACCTGCAAATCTGACCTGAATTTATTTAAAATTTAGAGGGAAGTAAACTCAATATGTTCACTGACAATGGTGGTGACCAGTACAGGGGTCCAATCTCAGTGTCCTTCCCAATCTCTAGGAAGGGCATAAACTAGAATATAATCCCTCTTCTAGTTCCAATTAAACAAAACAGTTATAACTTGGAAACCATTCTTAAAATAATTAAGATTTTTTTATGTACCTTTCTGTTTTAAAGTCTGTTAAATAATAATTTCATAGCACTGGTTAAATAAAAAAATGTTATTTTAGGTTATTTAATATGTTTAGATTGACAACTTATATATATGAATCAAAGTACATATACATCTAAGGACTTAGTATGTTTGAGCTTCATCCAAATGTTATGCAGCAGTTTCTACAATTAATATAATGTAAATTTAATGCCTACAAGATAAATAATAAGTGTTCCCTTTAATACAGCATGTATTGTATCTGAAACTTAAACATATAAAATAGTCCATGAAACTTATGGATGGCATTTATACATTATTTTTTCTGCATTAGTTTGCTTTCTAAATAAGCATTTGGTTATTGTAAATCAGAAATGCACTTATATATTATGTAATAAGTCCATTATGGTAATTATTACTATTTCCTAAACTTGTATATTTTTATCAATACTAAAGCTATATTTTTAATTTTTATCAATACTGTTAACCTATGTAGACCTCTAGTTATGGTTATCCTGAGTTTTGCTTCAAAGTTGTAATTAAGCTAACATGAAGACATCTGTGTAACTCTGCTGCTAATTGTTAGTGACTTTCTTGTATGTAAAAACTATTCATGTTCTCCAAGTGTGAAAGCCTTATAAATATAATTTATATATAAATACATATATAAATATGTTATATTTATATATAAATTTAATTATATATTGTATATAAATTATATATAAAGTTTATATATAATTTATATACATTTATATATAAATCATAATTAAATAAAGCCTAGTGCTTAGGAAAAGCACTTTATCAAGGTGATGTCCCCTTAACTAAAGTTTTTAGTAATAATAGATTTTTTCATGCTTATAGAAATATAGAAAATGTATATGGGGATTTATTTATGTCAGTTAATTTTTTGTAACTGGATAAAAATAATCATTATCAATAAGCTATATATGAAAATTATGTTGGTCATTACATAGGGGTGGAAATTTAAATGTGTTTTTAGAAAGATAATTAGAAGAGCCTAATTTACAGGTTGGCAGTGTGGATCCTGGAAATATTTTTCCACTTTTGCTACTTTTATTAAGTTGCTTAGGGCCTCACTTTGTTGCTGAGGTGGGCTTTGAATTTTTGATCCTCCTTCCTCAGCCTCCCAAGCCACTGGGATTACAGACATGTGCCACCATGTCCAGCACATCTTTCCTTTTCTTAAAAGAGAAAATAATTTGAAAGCAGAACAATAAGAACAACTACAGCCACCAAAACATCCAGATTTAGATTGTTATGATGAGCTACAGATTATAGATTCTTTCTAAAATAATGAAAATCTATAATAAATTAGAACAAGAAGTGAATAATTTAGAAAGACATAGGCAGCCCAACTCATCAAGCTTGATGAGCATGTAAAATACTCTTTGTCCTATTCATTGAATATTCTAAATTTAGTGATCTTAATTAGGAAGTAAAATAGGTTAGAAAGAATTACCAAGAAAAAAGTTCTCCATAGTATGAATTTCTGAGGTTTTAGTTAGTTTTATTGTTTGTTTTTGATATTTTGAAACTTTTTAAATAAAATTTTTATCTATAAAGAAATCTCCATTTTTAAAGACATTTCCCTATCTGTGAACTAACTTCTATAACAAGAAAGATAGCAACTTAAGTCTACATAACAAATGTCATTTTTTACCCTTTTTCTCCTTAACTCCTTTTATCAGAAAAAAATTATGTTTTTATCCAAGTTTGATGTCTTTGAGTTGAAATTTTTCTACCTTGTTTCCCTTAGAAAGATACTTCAGAAGTGCCAATTTAGGGTTATTGATTACTTAGGGTAATGGAGAAGAATGATAGCCTTAAGAGGGAGGAAAACTATTTGGAAAAGGAAATGAAGAATCTAAATAAATGTTATAAGGAGATCTTTATTGTCTGTTTGCATTTTGATTATGTTATAACTACACATGTGTTGATTTTCTGTAGATGTGTTTGTATATTGTGTATGTGGTATCAAATTACCTTAGAAATAAATAAGTACTCATAAATCCAATAAACCCAAATACTTTTCAAATTTTACATAACTTGGTATAATCATAAGTAAATAAAACCTAGTATTTCTCTAAAAAACTGATATATCTTGTCATCAAGAAAACACCAATTTATTTAACTTTATTGTACTTTTCTAACATCCACATACTGTTAAAATAGTTAAAAGGGAAAAACACTTTAGATGATAGCTAGGTAACAGCACTTAATGTCTCAAAATTTTGAAGAGCAATTCAGATATAATTGTTAAGAACAAGTAAAATAACAAATGTAAATGGAATAAACATTTATAAATGAATTCTCTGTAGTTTTCAAAAAAATTTTTTCAGTAACTTAAAATGTTATGGTTTGGATATCCCTCCAAATCTCACATGTGAAATAATGCAAGAAAGTTTGGAGGAAAAATAATGGGTTATAAAGAGTCTTAACCCAATTTATGAATTAATCCTCTGTTAGGGATTAACTGAGTGGTAATTAAAGTAATAGAGTGTGGCTGGAGGGGGTGGGGATTGGGACATGGCTTTGAGGTATATATTTGTATCTGGGGAGAACAGACTCTCTCTCTGCTCCTGATTGTCATGTGAGCTGCTTCCCTCTGCCACACTCTTTCTCCATGAGGTTCTTCCTCACCTACAACCCCAAGAATGGAGCCTATTGTCTGTGGCCTGAAACCCCTGAAACCATGAGTTCTGAAATAAATATTTCCTCCTCTAAAATTATTCTGGTGGGGTCCTTTTAGTCACATCAGTTGAAAGCTGACTAAAACAGCTTATATTATAAATTGTACAGGTATATTCAACAGAGAGTTAACTCATTTTTTTCAGGAGAAGGTGTGGTACTGGGGTTTGAACTCAGGGGCACTCTACCACTAAACCACATCCTCACCTCTATTTAGTATGTTTTAGAGACAGGTTCTCACTGAGTTGCTGAGCACCTCACTTTTGCTGAGGCTGGCTTTGAACTTTCGATCCTCCTGCCTCAGGCTCCCAAGCCACTGGGATTACAGACATGCACCACTGCGCCCAGCTGTTAAGTCATTTTTAATTCAAAATACTAAATCACTAACTATTTAAACTATGATTTAAAGAAAAGAAACTAAATATATTTGGATCTATTTCTACATTTAAAAAGTTCATAAGGAGGAATTACATATTTATACAATTTATTATTCTATAAAATTTAAATTGCTAAGAATCAATAGCAAAAACTAAAATCACAAAGGTAAAATGAGGTAGAATAGAAAAGATAAGCCTAGGTAGAAAGGAGAATAACATAGAAAAACTAGAAATGTAAAAACTCATGAACACTTTTACTCCCCAAGCATGAATTCTTAAAACATCCAACAAATCCTAGCACAATGTAAGTTCAGATAATGAGTGCTGATATATTTTAATTTATAGAACATATTTTTAGATAATTAAATTAAGCCTAGGGAAAGACATTGTTAAAACCCATGAGATGCTATCTTATGATAGTATCAAATCTAAAGATTTTGCAATGAACCAGATGATTTGACATGCTGTGCGCTCCAAAAACAGAAGAATTAAATTCATTAAGCTGACACTACCCTACAAACCTCTCATATTCACAATTTACAAAGTTTCTTTCAAAGGAATCCTGAGACTCCAAAAGCTTGTTTCATTTTTAAGCACCTACAATTCCTCTCCCTTTGATTGTGTATGCTGCTCTATTGTTTGCTTTCCTGAATAAATTTTCTTGCTTTCCTAAATAAATCTCTGCTTGTGCCTCTTTTGATACAACCCAAAATTCATTCAGGGCTGAGGTAAGGTCATAATCTTCCTTCTGGAAGATCTTCTCAGGCTTCATCCTATGACATTTCTGTGATGAGACAGCCAAGAGGTAAATTGAGACACAATCTTTGGTTTACAATATTGCTTCT